CCTCGGACCTGGCATCGGACCTGGCCTCGGACCTGGTCTCGGACCTGGTCTCGAACCTGGTCTCGGACCTGGCTTTGGACCTGGCCTCGGACCTGGCCTTGGCTCTGGCCTCGGACCTGCCATCGGACCTGGCCTCGGACCTGGTCTCGGCCCTGGGGCCGCATAACAGTTAGTTAGTCACAATTACAGGTGTGGAAATCATGCGAACCTCCCGACCCCACATGCAGGTGTGGGAGTTTCAGGCCCTAGGCACTGTGCCAAGCCTGAGAAGGCCAGAAACAATCACTGATTAAGACACAAACTTAACATGTATAAGTTTCTTAAGAAGCTTCAAGACCCTTGTATGCCAACATCTGTAGGTTCGCATGATTCCTGGATTAACGTATTACTCTTAAGATTAATCAAGTGTGAAGTTTAAGGAAGTGGCTTAGACAAGGTTCACAGCCCCACAGACAGACAGACAGACAGACAGACAACTACTTTTATACACAATAGACAGTAGTCATGCAGTCAGTCACCAAACGTGCGCTGCTCTATACTAATAAGAAAATACAAAGCGAGTTCTAGAGAAAATTAAAACGTCTAAATCCATTCTTATATATATATATATATAAATATATATATTTTAAATACTTTTAAGATCGTTCGTTTTAGTTAAGATTCAGTTCGGACTGTAATGTTTATTAGAAAGCACAACGAAAGTGCGCTAAAGCGAATGATATAAGAGATAAATGGATATAAGAAAATGATTAAGGAGATCACTGCACGGATTTTGAGCCAAAAGCAGTCTTTCAATAAAGCTCCTTTTCCTCTCTAACAGAGAGAGAGAGAGAGAGAGAGAGAGAGAGAGAGAGAGATACGGAGAAGGAAAATGAGCCTTTTTGACATCAACATCAAAGGCTCATAACCAGCGAGATCTCTTTGAGCAGTTATGGAAAGTCAAAACTTACTGGGGACGTTTACCCGCTGTTCAGGCAGCTATCAGGCTCTCTCCTGTTCACCTATTGTTGACTCAAGTGAGAATTGTTCCTGGGTGGCTGTAGGATTAACCCTATCTCTGATATGAATTGATCTATTGACGGTCTTTGGTCATACAGTGACGGAGCTCGGAAAAAGATGACCAGGCCAAATATATTGAGGAGTAGGAACACATAGAGAAATAGTCGATCTAGGACCATTGCAATAAATTTCCAATCTTCGCACTCCTGGAAATGAAAAATACAAATGTGGAAGGTAACTTGAGTTTAACAGCTCAACAGGAATTATTTCAATGTAATGTGGCTGGTCTGGAGATTAGCATAGCCTCCCCTGGCGCAAGTGGTTTTTTTGGTGTTGATTTTGAAAGAAAAACGAGAAGTGGGCATTGAAAACTGAGGCAAGTTATGAGACAAAAATTGGTCTAATCAGGTAATTTTTCAAGCGACGTCTTGCCCAGTTAGTCCGTCCAATAATCCTGCAAATTCTATTATTTGATCAATATTAAAATAAAAAAATACACAGTCATAATTATATATATTAGTACAGGTACAAAGCATGCAACTTGGTATTATTATTTTCTTCAAGGAAAGGTTTAGGTGAGCCAGACAGTCGAGGAATCTGGAGATTTGTGGCAACAACCTGACAAGGGACCAATGATTTATCTGAAATATCAGATATATCTATCAGATACCTATCTGATATCTGATATATCAGATAGATATTTCTCTAAAATATCTGAAGTATCAGAAATGAAATTTCAGATTTATTGGTTTATCTGAAATAAACAGATAAATGTTATCTGTTTAATTAACATATCCAGTAAAGTGTATTAAATCAAAAGACAATGCAAATTTGTCTGTAAATGTTTGCACAAACACACACAAACACTGAAATGGTAATCAGATCACTCAACACACTCATACTGCGCCATTCAGAACACGCAGAGTGACGCTGCCTCATAGAGAATATTAATTAATTAGAGAGAAGCTCTACATAAGATATAAAGTAAATCATTATTGCAACACATGACAACATCTGATTGTTATAAGATGTTTCAACAATCTTAGACGAAGGATTGTAAACAATCTGATATATATATATATATATATATATATATATATATATATATATATATATATATATATATATATATATATATATATATATATATATATATAATGTATACACGCTAGAATGAAATTATACTTCTATCGCTACTCTGGCTCCTTAATCCCCTATTTCTAACCAAAAACTAATTAAAAATTACTATAGAAATCGGCAAATGTATATACATAGCTGCTGCCACACTAGCCAATAATAGTTGCCGCTAAACGAGCTAAAGCTTCAGCTAATTCATCAGGAGATGAATTAGCCTGGCGGGTTGGTTACTGAGTCAGGTTAAGTTTCTTGAGCCATGTCGGTGAATGAGTTGGGTTTCCTTCCGTTGATGAGGCAGTGTGTGTGTGTGTGTGTGTGTGTGTGTGTGTGTGTGTGTGTGTGTGTGTGTGTGTGTGTGTGTGTGTGTGTGTGTGTGTGTGTGTGTGTGTGTGTGTGTGTGTGTGTGTGTGTGTGTGTGTGTGTGTGTGTGTGTGTGTGTGTGTGTGTGTGTGTGTGTGTGTGTGTGTGTGTGTGTGCCTATTTAGCTGTATCAATTATGACTTGGAATCCCAAATATTCCAACCCATCGTGAGAACTGCTTCATATTTAATGGTAGTGTAGATTTTGGGTTTTTGTTACTACTAACCACGCCTGTGACGCCGAGACTGTGTGTGTGTGTGTTTACTCACCACGAGGAGTGACGGAGGCACTCTGGTCAACATTGGCCCCTTCGGAATTGTCTTCAGAGATGCAGTATAGTTAAGGAGGGGGGGGAATGGCGAGATGATGTATTGGGATCTATTTCATGGCTACACTCACAGTGATTATGGTGTAATGGTGCACATTAGCACTGTCGGGAGAGTCAGTGACAATGATGTGATGGTTTACAGTGAGATTCAGTGATAGTGATGTTCGAAGTGAGTCTTCACTGAAGATAATCGTGGGGCACTAAAAACAGCTGTATTATGTGATTACAGTGAACTAATGTTGAGGAGACAATTAAGTTATCCTCAGACAGCTGACAGGATTAAGTCATATATATAATATGTAACATATATAGTAGTTACATATGTAACTTGACGCTAAAGCCACAAGAATTAAACTCACTGAATTTAGAACTATAAACAAACATTAATTGAATACGGGGGGGGGAGGAATAGTGCCCAACCTCTTGTGGACGGTCGGGGATTGAACGCCGACCTGCAGGAAGCGAGACCGTCTCTCTAACGTCTAGATCAAGTGGCCGGACGTGTTAGCAAGGCAGCCAGCAAAGCTAAAATGACTATACCCAGCTTCCTGTACTCTGTAGCTGAGTGGGATGACTGGCGTGATGGTTGTCACACTATAGGAAGCATCTACAGGTAGCGAAAGTCAAACATTTGGTCAATCTATCCACCTATCGCACTACACATGTAGACTACTCTCTATACAAATATATATATATATATATATATATATATATATATATATATATATATATATATATATATATATATATATATATATATATATATATATATAGATATATATAAGATATAGACTCTCTTCGACAATGTTTTAAAGATAACAAGGGAAACTGAATATATGTGATGCTAAGTCAGGTGTCCTAGGAACCTAGGGTAACGACACACGTGACTCTAGCATCCATCTATGGACTCACAAAAGGCAGATATACAAACATTCTCTCTTTCACAGGCCAGATATACGTCGTACCTTGAACACCTCCTTGTTCCCCCCCCCCCCCCCCCCCAGGTGTCTTGGCGGAGCAAGGACAAGTATCAGGTGTAAGCATCTTTGAGCATCTTTGTCATTATAAAATGACAAAGCTTCCTTTGTCATCTCTTGACACTGTCGATGATTGTTCTTCTTGGGACGGCAATATTTAGTTCATGTATATTGTGATTTGTGTAGTGTATAATGTACACACACATACACACATACACACATACACACACGTGTAGATGGAATGCATTAGGGAGTGATGTGGTGAAGGCTGACTCCATACCGTTTCAAATGTGGATATGATAGAGCCCATTAGTTTAGTAACCTGTACACCAGTTGATTGAGAGTTGAGAGGCGGGACCAAAGAGCTAGAGCTCAACCCCCGCAAGCACAACTAAGTGAGCACATTATATATATATATATATATATATATATATATATATATATATATATATATATATATATATATATATATATATATATATACATATATACATATATATCAGAATGAAGTGCAATAGAGCACTAATCCATGAAAATAATAATCCACTATTTTGAAAACGCGTAGGAAACAAGGAAATAGACTGTATATTTCGATCCCAAAACGGGATCCTCTTCAGCAGTGAGCCAAGAGGATCCCGGGTTGGGATCCAAATATACAGTCTACGTTTCCCTTTTAGCCTACGTGTTTTCAAAATGAAACCACGAATTACTGAAGGCTGGTGTAATGGGGCAGTCAGTAGCCGGAGTGGTGAGCAACCAGACTGTTCTCCTCCCACCCTAACTAAATGCCATGCACACGAGTTAAACACTGACAAACAACAGATATTTCAAGACCGAACCTGAGGGAGTGTTTGAGCAAAATGGCCAGGCTGCCTCTGTCATCTTGCTGAGTAAAAATGCGTCAGCGAGCGAACAAGCAAGTCTCCGCTCACTCGGCTCTAAGAGCGTCCCATCTTCTTTATCCAGAAACTAGGAGGAGGTTCCCCTAAATTCCTTCCAATTCAGTGCCATTCAGAGAACAAAAAAGCAACCTTGCCCACTCAATCAGACAACAGTGAACCTATATGACCGACAAGTGAACTTAAAATCCTAGTGTATAAGACTGTTGGCCTAGTCAATCTCCACCAGTCAATGCTGTTGACTGATTGAACTCAATCGTCAATCTCACGCTCACACTCCGTCAGGCAGGCCTTGTGTACCTCGTTATCGCGGTCCGCGTCCTTGATGTGCTGAGCGATGAACTGGACGCCCTCAATGGCTTTCTGGATCTCTGGCGAGTAGGTCCTCTGGCTGTGGAGGTGGCAGCCGCCCAGGTCTGTGAAGGGACAGAGAGAGTAGGCTGTGAGGGTGATTTAGTGGCAAACTTCCTCTCCCTTTGCTGGGAAGGGAGAGGTGGAACAGAAGCTTTAAATTATTCACTGACTGAATATATTACACTTAAAACATGTGCTGTAATAATTAAGTCATATGGGCAAATCCACAAGGGCCGTGACGAGGATTCGAACCTGCGTCCAAGAGCATCCCAGACGCTGCCTTAATCGACTGAGCTACGACATGGTTAAAAAGAATTGAAACCGAAGTTCTACTGGACTTACTGGATCCTCCAGCCTCTCCGAGACACAAACCAGGGTTTTACACAACTCCCCCCATGCACTCGAGCTATGTCAATAGGCCGTTCTCCTTCTTCGCCCTTACTTCATTACACAATCAATCCCTTGTGGATTTGTTCATATGATGCATCACGCTATTGTGATTTCTGTGTGTAAGTCAAATGGGGATAATGTTAAGGTATCCAGCACATACACTTCATAGTGACTCACAACATGAGTGACTCACAACATAAGTGACTCACAACATAAGTGACTCACAACATAAGTGACTCACCACATGATTCACTACACTTGCCACCACCGTGGGAGGAGAGGAAGTCATCATTGTACTTGTAGCCGGGGCCTCCCACGCTGCCCTGGTCTCCACTGTACTCCACGAAGGCTGCTTCGCTATACGGGTCACTGTGGGAGAGACGGAGAGTTACCTCAGGGGACAGGCAGACACAGACTGTTCCCCCAGGGACAATCCATAGTAACCTGTTTGCCTTGGGAAAGCGGTTGTGCTTGAAAAAGCTGTAGAGGGTGTTGAAAAATCGTCTGTTTTATGCTATTACGGCCAAAGTAAGAATAGGTGCATATTTGTTCATTTTTCCGAGATTAGTGAATAATGTTTATTTCTATAGGTTTCCAATTCGATTTCAAATTTATTTCGATAGGTGTAGCCGGTGGGAAGTGCCACAAGTCGTCGTGGGGGTCACAATGCGACCTTGGCACGCTGTTCCCTCTTGAATTTTGGCGACCCCGATTAGCCTATGTTCGTTCCGAACCCCAGACCTTTCCCCCTGCAAATTTGGGTGAGAGTAGCCTAGAGCGTCTGGCCTCCATTTATGGACACACAAACATGCAAATATACAAACATTCGAACAAATTCACAAGGGATGTGACGAGGATTCGAACCTGCGTCCGAGATCATCCCAGACGCTGCCTTAATCGACTGAGCTACGACATGGTCAAAAGAGTTGAAACCGAAGTTCTACTGAACTTACTGGATCCTGCAGCCTCTCCGAGACACAAACCAGGGTTTTACACAACTCCCCCATGCACTCGAGCTATGTCAATAGGCTGTTCTCCCTCTTCGCCCTTACTTCATTACACACAGAAATCACAATAACGTGATGCATCAATGTGATGTGATGATTAATGAAGGGCGAAGAGGAAGAACGGCCTATTGACATAGCTCGAGTGCATGGGGGAGTTGTGTAAAACCCTGGTTTGTGTCTCGGAGAGGCTGCAGGATCCAGTAAGTTCAGTAGAACTTCGGTTTCAACTCTTTTAGACCATGTCGTCGCTCAGTCGATTAAGGCAGCGACTGGGATGATCTTGGACGCAGGTTCGAATCCTCATCACGGCCCTTGTAAATTTGTTCATTTGATGCATCACGTTATTGTGATTTCTGTGTGTAATACAAACACTCTCTCTTTTACAGGGCAGATATATATATCGTACCTTGAACAAAACATTATTTTCTAAAATATGGAAACAAATCGCAGTATGGTGCTCGAGTGAAGACCCTCTCCATCCAGTCATACAATTTGGCGCAAGAGGGTAATGATGAGGGGGCCCAGGAGCTGGAACTTACTCTCACAAACACAAAATTAGGTAAGCGTGTGAAATATTACACAAACAAAACGAAATATATGTCTGTTAGTGACTTTGCAAGATTGTACAACTTACCAATCTTATATAATCTCACCATTGTACCATATTGTGAATATATTATAATTATTTTAACAAAAAGGAATATCGGGATATCCCAGAGGCTCAGTACAAACCTAGTACCAAAATTGGAAGCTCAATCAGACGAACTAGATTCTCTGGGGAAACCGACAACATTAACCACACCAAGACGTTAATACCTAGCCTAAGAGAACGTAAAGGAGCCCAAGATAGCATGAAGGAGCCCAAGATAGCATGAAGGAGCCCAAGATAGCATGAAGGAGCCCAAGACGGCGTCTACGGAGAAAACACACACAGAAGAACCACGAGAATGTGAGGAAGCCCATCTTCTGGACCATAGAAGCAAGTGGAATGAATTAAAAGAGCAGAGAGTATCAGCTTAACACAATTTCACAGTTACACAAGCAGATCCAGTGAGACACAAAGGGCCGGGCGTGACTGCCTCTGAAAAGCGACAATTACTAAAGCTGGAACTGGACTCTAAGCTCCGCCAGGTGAGGTAATTTGACAGGTAACTGGAGACAAGTGAACATGGCGACAGAAGCGTTTTGAAGTGACTGGCGTCCAAGGTGGACGCCACTTGCGTCCAAGGTGGACGCCACTTGCGTCCAAGGTGGACGCCACTTGCGTCCAAGGTGGACGCCACTTGCGTCCAAGATGGAAGCCTCTTGCGTCCAAGGGGAAGCCTCTTGCGTCCAAGGGGAAGCCTCTTGCGTCCAAGGGGAAGCCCCTGGCAATATGCGTACTGTTGGATGGGAAATATTCCCCCGCGTGAAGAGTGAAAATTGTTGGGTGTTCTTGTCTAGTTACCGAGACGAATGGTGAGTTAATTGTCGGGTGAGGCAGCTTCCATCTGTCTCTGGTGGCAGGTGGTGAGGAGGGAGAGGAGAGAGAGGGAAGGGAGAGAGGAGGGAAAGGTAAGAGGAGGGAAAGAGAGGGAGGGTGAGAGGTAGGGAGAAAACGGCAGCAATGTTCAGAGAACACTTCGGGTGTTCAAAGCACCTCTTTTTAATACTTATGTAAATCAGAATATCTATGTTATGTCCAAGGATTGATGCTAGATGCCTCGTTCTAGCCTCACCTAAATTTTAACAGTAATTGCTGGTGGGAACATGGCAAACAATGGCAGGTCAGGATTGGAATCAATGAAACGAATGCCACTTGACAAGCTGCTAAAGTGACCCCTATGACGAAATTTGCAAAAACAAATTAACTCGTCTTTCAGTTATTTTTTTTATCTCATAAGAAACTTAGTATTCTAAAACATCATGCGCTCGTGTCCATCAAAACAGTCAACAAAATTCCATTACATTTTGCCTAAAAGCTAGACCAATATATGCCCATAACGTTATCAAGTGAAATGTCCCCCCTACATTTTTATTGTTGGGGACAATGTACATTTTTATTGTATTGGATCCCTTACCCAATCCCAGTCCTTCATGCCCATCCTCCCGAGAGACAGCTAAACCTTCCTTCCCTACCGTCCCTCCTCCTTTAATACATCCCTAGCTCCAGAGAGAGAGAGAGAGAGAGAGAGAGAGAGAGAGAGAGAGAGAGAGAGAGAGAGAGAGAGAGAGAGAGAGAGAGAGAGAGAGAGAGACAGAGAGAGACAGAGAGATACAGAGACTAAGACTAAGAGCACCAGAAAGACACAGAGAGCAACAGAGATCTACACAGACAAAGAGCCAATGCAGATGAACCACAGAAACTGACAGAGAGAGACAGGGAGACAGAGTATGTATATACACCTAAGTATGTTAGAGAGTGTGGTGGATGAGAGTGCGTCTCCTCACGAGTGCTCTCTCACACGACCTCAACAAAGCCATCATTGGTGCCAGAGTGAACAAGCCCCAGAGAGTCTGTCAGTATGTTTGTGTTCTTGTATGTATGTATGAGTGTATGAACATTTTCACTCCTGTCACAGTGAACAGATACATGTTAAAATTATTATATTTTGTATATTTGATAGAGCAATTCTGATGGGGATGATAATTCTGATTTCTATTATTATTTTATTATTATGAATACTGTGAGAACGATGGAAGGAGCAAGAGAGAGAGAGAGGCAAGGAAAGAGACAGAGAGGCACAGGAGGAGAGATAGAGAGAGAGATCAAGGAGAAGCACCCCATCAAATGTATATATGTGTGTTTACTCACATATTTGTGTTTTCAGGTTCCAGAATTAACTCTTGGGCCCCGCCTTTCTAACTGCCGGTTGTGTAATGTAATGACAATTTACCTATTTCCTTACCATATGTACTCTTCTCTATCATATGTACTCTTAAAATTATGAAAGAGGTTTGCTTCTATAACCTGCTCCTTGAGTTCATTCCATTTTCCCCATTACTCACACACTAGAGGGAAACTTTCTAACATCTCTATGATTCTTTTGAGTCTCAAGCTTCCATTCCGTAAGTATTTTATACGTCTCTATCATGTCTTCCCCCCCCTCTCTCTCTCTCTCTCTCTCTCTCTCTCTCTCTCTCTCTCTCTCTCTCTCTCTCTCTCTCTCTCTCTCTCTCTCTCTCTCTTCTAGCGTTGTCAGGTTTAATTTTTTCAGTCTCTCTTCCTACCCTACCCTTGCAATTCTTGGATGAGCCTCGTCGCAAACTTCTGAACCTCTTCCAGATTCCTTATGCGCTTTTTCAGGTGGGGACTCCATGAGGGGGCGGCATACTCTAAGACTGGTCTCATACAGGAGATGTAGAGCGATCTAAATGAATGCCTCCTTATTTAGGTTCCTGAATGATGTTCTAACTTTTTGCTATCGTAGAGTTTGTTGCTGACGTTATCTTATATGTGTCACCGGAATCTCTGTGTGTTACGTTATTATAGAACTGAATAGGCTCATTACGCGTGATGTCATTTCAATGAGAGTGTTTGTTTACATACCTGGTCCTCTCCATATGTTTACACACCTGCTCCTTTCCACGTGTTTACATAGTTTTATACTTATTATTCACCCGAGTATATTACAGGGGGATGTTTATCAGTGATGTTGATCTGTAGTGCCTTCTACCTCTCTCCTTTCTTATAAATTGGCACAACATCTTCCAACAGCTGTTTAATGTTAAGAGGTAAGATAATAAACAGGAGAAAGTACTTAGCTGTGACGACTATACAGTTTAATGTTAAAAAATACCCTTCCAACAGCTGGGTGTTCAACAGCTGGGTGTTCAACAGCTGGGTGTTCAACAGCTGGGCGTCCAACAGCTGGGCGTCCAACAGCTGAACAAGTCTACCTTTCCAATAGACTCAGTATGACCAGAGTTATTAGTATACTCAGGATCTGTGCAGTTTTTTTAGTATATTCATCTTGAAATAGTCTATCTGATATCCTAACTCTATTCACATCTAATGGTGCCAAGTTGTTTCATTATTCCCTCTCGTGTTATCCAAATATTTGTGTGTCTGGATTCTTTGGATTGCCTCTGGAAATAAGCATTTAGTTTCTCAAAAATTTATGTCTAGTTTTTATATATATTTTTTCCGTGTTGGATAATTTATAGTTACTTATTCACTGTTATTTTTCTTCGTACTTTGTTTTATAACTCAGGTTGTTTCTTTGTTTTTAATGCTATGTATAATGCTATGTATAATGCTATGTATAATGCTATATATTCATTGCTAGTTCTGTTGCATCTATGTTGGTTTTCTTATGTCTTAAGAGAGTGGGTGTGTGTGTGTGTGTCTGTTTGTGTCTGTATGTTTCACTCTCTACTCTCTCTCTCTCTCTCTCTCTCTCTCTCTCTCTCTCTCTCTCTCTCTCTCTCTCTCTCTCTCTCTCTCTCTCTCTCTCTCTCTCTTCTCTCTCTCTCTCTCTCTCTCTCTCTCTCTCTCTCTCTCTCTCTCTCTCTCTCTCTCTCTCTCTCTCCTTCCCTCACTGCACTCCTCTCTAAAGATCAATATCCTCCCAGCTTCCACACATACCTATCCCCCTCTCACCACACTCCCCTCTCTCTTCCCCTCTCTCTCTCTTCTTCCCCCAGGTCCCTCTTTTTCTCCTCTTCCTCCTCCTCCTCCTCTCTTCGTACCCCATGTGGCTAGTTATCTTGTTCTGCCCTTTATTAGGTTATCTTCATAGTTATCATATCTTCCTCGTATTACCGGCTTTATCTCCTGTTATTCCTAGTGGTGTTATCACCGGTGGTATTGTCACTGGTTATCCTTTATCTTGAGGTTATCTTGAGATGATTTCGGGGCTTAGCGTCCCCTCGGCCCGGTCCTCGACCAGGCCTCCTTTTTGTTAGACATCCCCCAGGAAGCTGCCCGTAGCAGCTGTCTAACTATCAGGTAGCTATTTACTGCTAAATGAACAGGTGCATTAGGGTGATAGAAACTCTGCCCATTTGTTTCGGCCTCCACCGGGGATCGAACCCGGAATCTCAGGACTATGAATCCCGAGCGCTGTCCACACAGCTGTCAGGCCCACCTGACGTGGGTGGCAGGTGTTAGATTTGTATTATTTTAATAATAAAGCAATTGAATCATTGCCGTTTGTTCACACACACACACACACACACACACACACACACACACACACACACACACACACACACACACACACACACACACACACACACACACACACACACACGCGAGATGGGGTACCCGGCTGATCCCAGGTCTCTCTCCCTCCCCCTTCAACCCTCCCTTAACATGGTGGGGGTGGAGAGGAGGTGGGTACACTTTGTGCAAAGCCTGACTGGTCAACAGCTGTGTTTACACTATACTCTATGACATCTGCTGGTACTGTGTAGTGATGATGGCAGATGGGTCACTATACTCCTGGTAATGTATGGTGAGCTCCAAGCCTCACCACAAGGCTTGGAGGTAGGTGTGGAGGTCACCAAGATGACCTCCACACCTCCCTCCCTCACTAATTAAGAACCCACTCAACCACCTCACAATTACTGACAATTACCCAAGTAATTGGGTGGTTTGGAGACCAACTGGAGAACTGTAGTTGACGCTAATCCCCATTTACGTTGATGTTGCCGCCCACTTAATTGGTGGTTAGCTCTTAAATATATATAAAGGAAGGCCTGACGCTTAGAGCCAGCCTCACTTAATTTTGCAGGGGGACTGGTCTGGGGTAGGGGATGAACATAGGCCAGTCGGTGTTGCGAAAATTCAAAAGTAGGAGAGTGGGCCAATGTCACACTTAGACCCCTCCCCTTCCCCCCCTTATAACACCCCTCCCTCACTCCCCCACCCCCCACAGCCCCACCATACAAAGTCAGACACCTTCACACAGATACAAGGCAGATGGGTAACTATTCCATAAAAAAAAAATCCAAACTATTTTTTTTAACATACTGTATGTAACTTACTGTAACAGTGTAACATCAGTATTCACTGATTTGGAAAAAACAAAAAGAAATTGTTTGCTATTCAAACTTCAGCCGCACTACCATCAATTATCTACTAACTTCCCAAAGCTACAAAACAAATGGGGAACAATTTATTTTGAAAACAGAAAAATTTAATTTTTTCGTATAGAGGAAAGAGAGAGAGAGAGAGAGAGAGAGAGAGAGAGAGAGAGAGAGAGAGAGAGAGAGAGAGAGAGAGAGAGAGAGAGAGAGAGAGAGAGAGAGAGAGAGAGAGAGAGAGACGGAGACACACAGTGACAGAGAGAGACAGTGACAGAGAGACACAGAGACAGAGACAGAGACAGAGAGATAGAGAGAGACAGAGAGAGAGAGGGGAGGGAGAGAGACAGAGAGAGACGGAGACACTCAGTGACAGAGAGAGACAGTGACAGAGAGAGACAGTGACAGAGAGACACAGAGACAGAGAGACACAGAGACAGAGACAGAGATAGAGAGAGAGGGGAGGGAGAGAGACAGACAGAGAGAGACGGAGACACTCAGTGACAGAGAGAGACAGTGACAGAGAGAGACACAGACACACCCGCCCCCCCCCTGTCCCAACTCACCAGATCTCTCCCTCGCTGAGAGGGTCGAAGTACTCCTGGTCGGAGAGCTTGTCGTGCCGGTCCCTGGGGTCGTACTGGGGTCGTCTCATCAACAGCAGGCGAGGCATCACGTTGATGAACACTCTCCTCACCCAGGGGGACATCTTGTGAGTAGAGGGTGACCTGTGGGGGGGGACAGAGAGAGGTGTAAGCTGTACTGACGGCTGGGGTAGTGGTGTGGGAGGTTATCTTGAGATGATTTCGGGGCTTAGTGTCCCGGCGGCACGGTCCTCGACCAGGCCTCCACCCCCAGGAAGCAGCCCGTGACAGCTGACTAACTCTCAGGTACCTATTTACTGCTGGGTGGGGGTGGTGGACGGGAGGTGGGAGGGGGTGGTGATGGTGGTAGTTTTTGCTATGGGAGTGAGGAGGAGTGGTAGTTTTTGCTATGGGAGTGAGAGGGAGTGGTAGTTTTTGCTATGGGAGTGAGAGGGAGTGGTAGTTTTTGCTATGGGAGTGAGAGGAAGTGGTAGTTTTTGATATGGGAGTGAGAGGGAGTGGTAGTTTTTGCTATGGGAGTGAGAGGGAGTGGTAGTTTTGCTATGGGAGTGAGAGGGAGTGGTAGTTTTTGCTATGGGAGTGAGAGGGAGTGGTAGTTTTTGATATGGGAGTGAGAGGGAGTGGTAGGTTTTACTATGGGAGTGAGAGGGAGTGGTAGTTTTTACTATGGGAGTGAGAGGGAGTGGTAGTTTTTACTGTGGGGGTGAGAGGGAGTGGTAGTTTTTGCTATGGGAATGAGAGGGAGTGGTAGTTTTTGCTATGGGAATGAGAGGGAGTGGTAGTTTTTGCTATGGGAATGAGAGGGAGTGGTAGTTTTACTATGGGAGTGAGAGGGAGTGGTAGTTTTTACTGTGGGAATGAGAGGGAGTTGTAGTTTTTGCTATGGGAATGAGAGGGAGTGATAGTTTTTGCTATGGGAATGAGAGGGAGTGGTAGTTTTTGCTATGGGAATGAGAGGGAGTGGTAGTTTTTACTATGGGAGTGAGAGGGAGTGGTAGTTTTTGCTATGGGAGTAAGAGGGAGTGGTAGTTTTTACTATGGGAGTGAGAGGGAGTGGTAGTTTTTGCTATGGGAATGAGAGGGAGTGGTAGTTTTCACTATGGGAGTGAGAGGGAGTGGTAGTTTTTACTGTGGGAATGAGAGGGAGTTGTAGTTTTTGCTATGGGAATGAGAGGGAGTGATAGTTTTTGCTATGGGAATGAGAGGGAGTGGTAGTTTTTGCTATGGGAGTGAGAGGGAGTGGTAGTTTTTGCTATGGGAATGAGAGGGAGTGATAGTTTTTGCTATGGGAGTGAGAGGGAGTGGTAGTTTTTGCTATGGGAATGAGAGGGAGTGGTAGTTTTTACTATGGGAGTGAGAGGGAGTGGTAGTTTTTGCTATGGGAGTAAGAGGGAGTGGGAGTTTTTACTATGGGAGAGCGGAAATGGTAGTTTTTTAATGGGAGATTTTTTTGTAGTGTGAAGGAATAGAATACGTGTTTTTTAGTAATGGAAATGAGGTTCTTCATAATATTAGTTATCAAGTTGTACATTAATTTAGTTTCATTATGGTAAATAGTTTTTGTCTTATTAATAATAATTTTTATTTTTTCGAATTTAAATAATTTATTAACTTTTTACATTTTAGCTCAGTAAATTGCTGGGTTGGACACGAATTGTAAATTTGAATTGTAAATTTGATTTGTATTGTAATTGTAAATTTAATTGTAAATTCGTGATTGTAAATTCGTAATTGTAAATTCGAGGTTGGGGACCAGACGTCATGGTCACACATTCACTGGACTCCAGTTACCATCTGGTTAAATTGTAAAAAAAAAATCGAAATAAAAAAAATTCTTACAGTATAGTAAAACATTAAGCACTGATCTCTACAAAATTATCAGAAATTTTCTGCACATACTTTGCTGCCTGTAACAGCAAAGATGCGCAACTTTTAAAGCTGTCAACATCGAGCTGTGTCATCACCCACACACCTCCCACTAGTTCACAAGTCTAAAGTAGGTCAACTCCAAGACTGAAGTCTGAGATCGTGGTGTTTGATTGGACTTTTTCAACAGTTTTTTCAGCTTTGTATAATGTTAAATGTTCTGTGAGAGAGAATTATATCAAATTGGGTGGAGCAACATTTAGTTGAAGTAACGTTTGACTGAATTGATGATCAGGCTGGGGCAGTAGGTTGAAATATGAGCTGGGCATTGAGACACAGATGATCTGAAGGGCCCTAAAAATGCCCTAATGCCCTCTACATAAAGGTACTACAATGGGTGATCACACATGCCCAAAATTCGTCCAGAAAGACAACCACAGGGAGAGAAAGAAAGTGAAGACACAGAAGGAAGAGATGCGCTAAGCGGATTGGTCAAACACTGATACTAATGATTAAAATCTGTGGTAAAAGCCCTGGGGGACACGCCTGGGGGACACGCCTTGGGGACACGCCTGAGGGACACGCCTGAGGGACACGCCTGGGGGACACGCCTGGGGGACACGCCTCTCCTAAGTATGGATACTGGAGTCTACATGCTGGAGAGTATGGAGTTTGGAGAGTACTATGCAGGAGTACATGAATGCTGGAAATATATGGATACTTCAGAGTATGGATGTCAGAGATTATGGATACTGAAGAGTATGGATGCTAGAGATTATGGATACTGAAGAGTATGGATGCTAGAGATTATGGATGATTCAGAGTATGGATGCTAAAGATTATGGATGATTCAGAGTATGGATGCTAGAGATTATGGATGATTCAGAGTATGGATGCCAGAGATTATGGATACTGAAGAGTATGGATGCTAGAGATTATAGATGATTCAAAGTATGGATGCTAGACAGTATAAATCTCGAAAACACAGATGCTGAAGAGTACGTTTACTAGAGTATGAATACCGTGGAACTATCTACACTGTACTTTACAAGAACATTATGAAACGTTATCAGGTTACATAGACCAATTACACTGTACAGCACAATTAGCTAGATAAAGCAACACAATCTGGACAACAGAGCAACACCTGTGGTAGGACGACCTTACACAACCTGGGCAAAACAATATATAGTTAGAGAGAAAACATTAGAAGATTAGAAGAAGAGATTAAAAGAATTAGAAGAAACATTAGAAGAAGATAGATTAGAAAATAAAGATTAGAAGATAGATTAGAAGAAGAAGGCATTCAGAGGAATGCCACCAGACTAGTCCCGAAGCTGAGAGGTATGAGTTACGAGGAAAAGCAACTGGAATTAAACCTCGCGTAGCTGAAAGACAGAAAATATAGGGAGACATGATTACAACATAGAAAATTTTTCAGGGAATTGACAAGATATATAAAGACAAACTATTAACACGAGGGAAACACAAACAAGGGGACACAGGTGGAAACTTAGTACCCAAATGAGACATTAGAAAGATTTTTCGTTGTCAAAATAGTTATGAAATGCACTAGGCAGTGATGTGGTGGAGGCTGACGCCATACACAGTTTCAAATACAGATGAATGATTAAGCCCAATAGGCTCAGAAACCTATGCACCAGTTGATTACCGGTTGAGAAGTGGGACCAAAGAGCCGCAGCTCAACCTAGCAAGCACAACTAGATGGGTACAAGTAGGTGGGTACACACACAGATCAACACCAGAGTCCGGATAACCTTCACAACACCAAAGCGTCACAATAAAATAATTATGTCTATTAGAAGCCTAACTTTGTACGTAATGTACGAAATATCAACAAATAAACAATAAAAATAGTGTTTAATATATGCATAAAACGAGCAAGAAAAACGGGATAATGTTATATTTTTGCAAGATTTTTTTAAATATTCTTTTATGTTTCTTAAACTGGTAAATATTGGCTTAGGTTTGGCTTGGGTGGGTTAGGTAAGGATGGTTTGGGTAGAGTTGGGTTGGGTTAGGGAAGGTTAGGTTAGGTTTTAAAACCTGAAAGGTATCCATCTTGTTGACAACGTGACTTGCCTGTAAGAAAACACATTCAATAGCACTCCAGAACTTCAATATTCCATCCAAGGACCCGCGAGATGGATCTCACATATACCATTTCCCTTTTGATCTATCTCATGCCTTCTCACCCTTCACAGCCTGATTGATCATTGGGTCCCTGATGACAGCGAGAGACTGGAGTCGCCTCTATGACTGAGCTCACAAAATTCCTGGGTAAATATAATTAAAGTGAACGAGAAGGTGGTGATACCCCGAGGCTTGAGAGCCAGGAAGTGTTTACTCGTTGCTCGGAACTGTTTGGGCAAGTTCTACCTCCACCTAGCAACCAACCACTCCCAGCGGCCAACCACTCCAAGCGACCAATCTCTCCAAACGACCAACCTCTCTAGAACGTTAATTTCGAACACACAGAAATCACACAAATCAATCGATTAAGGCAGTGTCGGGGGATGCTCCCGGACGCAGGTTCGAATCCTCGTCACGGCCCTTGTGGATTTGTTCATTGTTGATTTCGAACTATTGGCATTGTCAATGACCCGGGAAAGTAGACAAGGACATAGTATATATAAGATTCTTATAAATATATATAAGAACAGACTATAAAACGGGTGAGAAAGCTTGAAACTAATGATAGCAACAGTACTGGAAAAAAGTTGTTGTTTTTTTCTTAAAATGTCAATCAATAACTACCACATTAACCACCAGTACTAACAGCCACCACCACCACCACTGGACACTGTATGCAACCATACCTACCACACCACCGCATACACCAACCACACGAGACGAGGAACCTTTCTCAATAATAATGTAACAACTCCCAACCTAATTACATTTTCTATAAAGAAATCCATTTTTGCCCGCACACGGGGATTCGGAAATAGGAAATAAACAGAGGCAATTGTTAAACATTCTCTGGAGGTAATTAAGGCAGCTCTGTCAGGGAGGACATTGTATCCGGTATAATGAAAATTAACTTCGCTTTTATCAGACATTCATTAAGTGGAAGCGCTCAGCGATGAATACCCGGCTTCATTCATTGTAGTGACACCAGGAATACCAACCTGAGAGAAGCCAGGCCTGCCAACGCTCCACAGAACAGGGATGCCAACCTTATGGGTGATAGCATTGTCGCCGCTATACAGGGCAGAAATACCAACCTATGTGACGACACGTCTGCCAATACTATTCATGATATGTCAATATTTTTTTAGCGTGAGGGAAATCAACCCGAGTAGAGTAGATGTTTTCATGCTATACACAGTAGGGCTACCAACAGGAGGGACGAGAGTTGCTCAGGGCAGGGCTACCAACAGAAACGAAGGGCTACCAGCCTGATGGAGGACAGGCCTGCCACTTGTCAACATGGACCGCATGGCTCCCGTACCAGGAAAAAGCTTTTAAGTACAAGAATAGTCACTCAAACAACACTATGATATCCTGCTAGTTAAATGTATATAAATTGTGGCTTAAATGTCTGTCTGGCAGGGTAAAAAGTATCTAGAACCGTGAGCCTCTGTCCAGCGCGACTGCTTCTGTCCGCCATTACATCCCAAGAACGTTTTCTCTCTCTCTCTCTCTCCTCCGCCCCTCAATACCAGATGGTCATTCGTCACTGAATAACTCTTGAATGTTCCCATTTAACAATACTCTACTTTTAACAGATATATATATTTGAAAAAGAGACCATTTTTCATTAACAAAATGTTGATAAATATTCGACTGTTAAGCTATAATCATCGAATATGTGAAGGTACTACTTTGTTGGGCGGAGGGATTTCTCTCTTTTTCTAATCAAATGACTACGTTAATTCTGCAGAAAATTGTAGGTAAGTTTCGTGATAGTGAACAACGGGCAAAATACCGGAACTTTCCTGGAATAAAGACATTTTTTTTCAAAATTGTTCTAGAAAAAGTCTTGTATTTTTGAATGATTGAATTTTGAATTTCGAACTTGGGTGAAATTGAATTTCAAAAGTCTTAAAACACGAGCTTCATAACCGACGCTTGACCGTTGAAGTTATTCATCTTGACCGTTAAAGTTATTCATCTTGACCGTTGAACTTATTCATCTTGAACTTTGAGTTTTACTGAGGCAAAATTACAAGTGACCGCGATAGATGAATTTCAAAGATCTGATATAACTGAATTTAAGAAAAATAATAAAACTTAATTGAATTCAAATAATTTGAATTAAGGTAAATAACAGAATTTAAGAAACTAAATATTTAAAATATAAAAGTTCATTGTGACATAACTTGTCCAACCGGGTGCTTATATTACACACACACACACACACACACACACACACACACACACACACACACACACACACACACACATAGACAAATAGAGAAGACTTCCTGCTTCCTTTAGCCATTAACCCTGCGCGCTTCGGGTGAAATTAACAACAGACAAAAATCAAATGAGCGTGTAGCCACAATGAAGTCTCATCAACCAGGCAATTAGAGTCCTCGTCAGGGCCACATTACACCAGAGGAAACTGAAAGTGAACTCTGTGATGGAGAGTTGATGGTGTGTGTGTGCGTGCGTGTGTGTGTGTATGTGTGTGTGTTGCTGATATTGGTACACCCTCTACAGGTGCTGCTATTGCTGCAACCTCTACAGGTGCTGCTATAGCTGCAACCTCTACAGGTGCTGCTGTTGGTACAGCCTCTACAGGTGCTGCTATTGGTACAGCCTCTACAGGTGCTGCTATTGGTACAGCCTCTACAGGTGCTGCTATTGGTACAGCCTCTACAGGTGCTGCTATTGGTACACCCTCTACAGGTGCTGCTATTGGTACACCCTCTACAGGTGCTGCTATTGGTACACCCTCTACAGGTGCTGCTATTGGTACACCCTCTACAGGTGCTGCTATTGGTACAGCCTCTACAGGTGCTGCTATTGGTACAGCCTCTACAGGTGCTGCTATTGGTACAGCCTCTACAGGTGCTGCTATTGGTACACCCTCTACAGGTGCTGCTATTGGTACATCCTCTACAGGTGCTGCTATTGGTTCACCCTCTACAGGTGCTGCTATTGGTTCACCCTCTACAGGTGCTGCTATTGGTTCACCCTCTACAGGTGCTGCTATTGGTACAGCCTCTACAGGTGCTGCTATTGGTACAGCCTCTACAGGTGCTGCTATTGGTACAGCCTCTACAGGTGCTGCTATTGGTACACCCTCTACAGGTGCTGCTATTGGTTCACCCTCTACAGGTGCTGCTATTGGTACAGCCTCTACAGGTGCTGCTATTGGTACACCCTCTACAGGTGCTGCTATTGGTACAGCCTCTACAGGTGCTGCTATTGGTACAGCCTCTACAGGTGCTGCTATTGGTACAGCCTCTACAGGTGCTGCTATTGGTACACCCTCTACAGGTGCTGCTACTGGTACAGCCTCTACACGTGCTGCTATTGGTACACCCTCTACAGGTGCTGCTATTGGTACACCCTCTACAGGTGCTGCTATTGGTACACCCTCTACAGGTGCTGCTATTGGTACACCCTCTACAGGTGCTGCTACTGGTACAGCCTCTACATCCTGGTCGAGGGTCGGACCCTAAGCCACCATGAAAGGAATCGTACACTAAATGAAATGTGGAACCAAATGTCCGTAGACTTTATCACTTGATTACATATTAGTATACAAAGATATTGGCGCGCAAATTAAATGTTTATATGACAGATTTGCAATTGTGAACGCAACTTTTGATTACAATGATGAGAATAGTGTGTTGTGAAATTTTTTATAGCTATAGGGGAGTATAGGGAGAACATGTGTGGAGATGGGTAGGTGATGTGACGTTCTCTGTGCAAGGGGTCGCACTGTGAATGTGAGCAAAGCTTTAATGGTCCCCCCAAGCACAGATGTTACTATATTGTATGGTGCAGTGGTGATGGTGATGGTGGTGGTGGTGGGGTGACACCATGGCGCCGGGATATAGTGGCACCAGGAGTCTTTTGCACCAATAGCTCCCGTACCATTATGGAAAAAGAAAACAGAAATATAGCAACAAAGAACAGAGTAATTAGTTATTACGACTAACAAGGAAACCCGGAAAGTTGTAGTTACCTTCGCCGGGTCAGAACGAGCCCACATGTGTTGCTAACTTAATCATCAAATCATCTCAAAATAACCTCCCTCACCCCTCAAGTTGCCTGCCACTGGGCACTGTGACCTGTTGACCCTCAGTGGGTCAAACACCACATCCCAGAGCCTGGCAGTGGTCCAAGGCTCTCTCAACCCAACACAACAAACACAACCAAGTTAGCTGACTGGCTATATTTAGATAGCTACACAACCAACCAAGTTAGCCAAGTTAGCTAGCTATATTTAGATAGCTACACAACCAACCAAGTTAGCCAAGTTAGCTAGCTATATTTAGATAGCTACACAACCAACCAAGTTAGCCAAGTTAGCTAAACCCGTAGATGTTTGCCACGGGTTTAAGCAGAAGAGAAGGGAACTATCAGGGGGAAAGCGATAAGCCATCATAACTATATAGCACTGGGAAGACGTCAGGATAAAGATTTAGGCTGGGACGAAGGGATGAAACTGGGGAAAACTACTTAGAAAACTATTAACAAAATAAAACAAAGTTTCTTGAAATATTAAAAATAATTAAAATTTGCCTGAATATACTTGACGGGCACCTAAGAGACCTAGTGACCTTGACGGAGGACAAGAAGTTGGTGCCTTGTCAAATGATCTCCATTTTACCTGAGAATTTTGTTTTTTTCCAATTGGATTTCTAACCAATAGTAATATCTTGGCATTTACGGCTTCGACAGGTAGGCGGTTCCTCGAATTTAGAACCCTATGGGTGAAAAAGCATCTTCCATTTTCTGTCCTACATTATGGCTGGTTGATCTAAGTGTTGCTCCCCATGTAAGTGCTACTTGTGACTTATAAAATTACGTGTTGACCTTTTAAGGTAGCCTAGATTAATATCCTCCATTTTGGTCAATATTTTATGCCTCCAAGAGATCCGCTCTGTCATGTCTAGTTTGTACCGTTTCCAGTCCGGTGGCCCACAACCTTATCCATTATGAGAGTCGACTTAGTTCTGGGATGATGCTACTATGTATTCATCCTCATTATTTCTCCTATGATTGAATATAATGACAATTTCAAACAGCGTGCTCCACAATGACAGCTGTAAACAGTATAATGATGACAATTTAGAGACATATATACGGTAATGTTATAATGACCTACCTCATACATTATAATTTTACTGCAACAAAAACATGAGAAGAATTGTTTATTTCCAAATCGCAAATACACGCCTGCGATCAAAATGTTTTCATTGGGAGAGGTAACTAACATAGTGGCGAGGAGTCACAATAACGTGGCTGAAATATGTTGACCAGACCACACACTAGAAAATGAGGGGACGACGACGTTTCGGTCCGTCCTGGACCATTCTCAAGTCGCTTTGAGAATGGTCCAGGACGGACCGAAACGTCGTCGTCCCTTCACTTTCTAGTGTGTGGTTTGGTCAACAGGGAACTAACATCATGATATTTGTCGAGCACAATACAAGCGGAAGACCTACCTGAAGTGGACGTTGAGAACTCCGACGGTGACGCAGATGGAGAGCGTCACCAGGATCATGGTGAAGAGCAAGTACTTCCCCAGCAGCGGCACCGCCAGGGACGTCGGCGGAATGATCTCGGCAAGCAGGAGGAAGAACACGGTGAGGGAGAGCAGGATGGAGATACACAGAGTCACCTGCAGGTCGGCCGGAGGTTAGACGGCTCGGCGGAGGACTAATGCCCCCCTATGTTTTGGTACTAGTGTCCTCGGGGGAGGATTTAATACCCGTATGTTTTGGTACTAGTTTCCTTGGCGGAGGACTAATACCCGTATGTTTTGGTACTAGTTTCCTCGGCGGAGGACTAATACCCGTATGTTTTGGTACAAGTTTCCTGGGCGGAGGACTAATACCCGTATGTTTTGGTACTAGTTTCCTCGGCGGAGGACTAATACCCGTATGTTTTGGTACTAGTTTCCTCGGCGGAGGACTAATACCCGTATATTTTGGTACTAGTTTCCTCGGCGGAGGACTAATACCCGTATGTTTTGGTACTAGTTTCCTCGGCGGAGGACTAATACCCGTATGTTTTGGTACTAGTTTCCTCGGCGAAGGAGAGCTCGTGTTCCTGTCAGCAATTCTGAGGACTGAGAAGAACGCTGACCCGCTCGCCAGAAATTAATTTGGTTCCTTGACTTTATTTAAGCGAGGTTTTGTGTGAATTTTTAATTGTTTTTTAAACATTAACGATATGGCTGTGCACCAGTGAATAAGGGTTGATTTAGAAGGCTTTAGGAGTTTAATTATTGAGTTAGTGGATTTTATATGAAAAAGTAGATTTAGCAAGTCATTAGAAATGAAGTAACTACATGTCAGTTGCGTCCGAGAAATGATAGTCTTTATGGTAAGTTACCACAGGGTCGATAATTTCACCGTTTTGGACCATTCTAAGCTCTAGGAGCAAATTGGAATAATAAAATGCTTTTATTGCTATCTGTTGAAATAGAATTTGTAAAATACGGGATTAGCAACAGTATATTGTGTCTAGGAGAGAGAGAGAGAGAGAGAGAGAGAGAGAGAGAGAGAGAGAGAGAGAGAGAGAGAGAGAGAGAGAGAGAGAGAGAGAGAGAGAGAGAGAGAGAGAGAGAGAGACAAATAACATAGATGTAGTAAACTGAGATGAGATTCTCATTCTGAGATTCGTAGATTCTCAGACATCTACGCTAATATACTGATGCGTGGATGTGGTGTGAGTTTCAGCATCAATGATTAACTCTTATGTACTAACATTCAGACCTGCAAAGGTAAACACTTGGAATGTGGAGACATAACTGTGTCTCAGGACACGGGAACCTCAAAGAAAAACATTGTCCGACTCCAGTGATTGGTAGCAGGTGATTAGAGTACATCCAGTGATTACAGTACATCCATGCCTGTTGCACATGTTGTATTTCACCTTAAAGTGAAATGCAAAGTTTTGTTTGACCTTACTAGGACACTAAAACTATTTGTTTATGTTTTTAGTACCCCAGTGAAGCAGTTTGAAAGAAATCACGAATGAAGGTTATCAGTAATTGAAAGCATTTCGAAACAGTTTCCTAATCTAGCCGGCAGTTAAAATGCGACACTAACGGCAAGAATGGCCGACCATCCCTGTCTACTGGGCACCACTGGCTTAGGATAATGTTAGTACTGAGCCCCATAGGTACCAGGCAAGCTTTAGATAATACCTTCACAGCTCACAGTGTGTGTGTGTGTGTGTGTGTGTGTGTGTGTGTGTGTGTGTGTGTGTGTGTGTGTGTGTGTGTGTGTGTGTGTGTGTGTGTTCTATACAAATAAACTGTACTAATATATTTTCACTCACACCAGCACGAGACAACCTGGTTGATTGTCCCCTCCGGTCACTGCTCACGCCCTCACCACATTAACCTTATCTACGGGCTCACCATAGCCCGTGCTACTTGGAACTTTTTGTTCCAGTAGCAAATCTTAAACAACAACAACATCTACCAGCGTTAGACCTTCTGCTTTAATCAGTTTGCTGTTTGAGACAGGCTTGACCTGCATGACTAGGTAAACGAACGTTATTCTTATATGTTTCCCACTCTTGAATTGCAAATATCAAGTGCGCCAACACAACACACCAACTGTGATCTGTTGCACGGGGAGAATATGGACAATGTTGATGATACCCTTGAAGGAACAGGGAACAGTTCCCTGTTCCCTGTTCCGTGAACAGTGAACTCGCTTTTCTGTTGAATAAACGTCATAGTGTGAAGTCCAGTCACCGTCTGTGGGGCCTAGCCAACATCAGTGGGGCCTAGCCAATGTCAGTGGGGCCCTAACCAACGTCAGTGGGGTCTAGCCAACGTCCGTGGGGCCTATAACCAACGTCAGTGGGGCCTAGCCAACGTCAGTGGGGCCTAGCCAACGTCAGTGGGGCCTACCCAATATCAGTGGGGCCTAGCCAACGTCTATGAAGCCTAGCCAACGTCCGTGGGGCCTATAACCAACGTCAGTGGGGCCTAGCCTACGTCAGTGGGGCCTAGCCAACGTCAGTGGGGCCTACCCAATATCAGTGGGGCCTAGCCAACGTCTATGAAGCCTAGCCAACGTCAGTGGAGCCTAGCCAATGTCAGTGGGTCCTAGCTACCGTCAGTGGGGCCTAGCCAACGTCAGTGGGGCCTAGCCAATGTCAGTGGGGCCTAGCCAACGTCAGTGGGGCCTAGCCAATGTCAGTGGAACCTAGCCAACGTCAGTGGGGCCTAGCCAACGTCAGTGGGGCCTAGCCAATGTCAGTGGGGCCTAGCCAACGTCAGTGGGGCCTAGCCAACGTCAGTGGGGCCTAGCCAACGTCAGTGGGGCCTAGCCAACGTCAGTGGGGCCTAGCCAACGTCAGTGGGGCCTAGCCAACGTCAGTGGGGCCTAGCCAACGTCAGTGGGGCCTAGCCAATGTCAGTGGGGCCTAGCCAATGTAGACTACTGGTCACATGACCCTCAATGACCAACCATCCTGTGAAATAAGGCTATTTTAGCATCACGTAACGACCGCTCTTGACGCCCTGGGTAACCCTTCTTATACTCAAGGGGAAGCTGCAGTTGGACCTAAATATGTGAATACAAAACAGAAAGACCCGATACAGTCCATAGTACAGGGGCCGAGCTGCGCCAAGCTCAGCTTTGCATACATTGTAAATGAATGTAAATAAATAACACCATTCATTGTAAATGAATGGTGTTATATGAGGACAGCTGAGTCCAGCGCACACAGCTGCTCGAGGGATTAAACAAGTCATATTTGCTCAATAGTCATTGACAATCTGAACCATTTAGAGCTTCGAAAACTTGAAGAGAATTATTCTCACACAAAATTAAGATAAATTACTTCATGTTGACCCAGACCACACACTAGAAGGTGAAGGGACGGCGACGTTTCGGTCCGTCCTGGACCATTCTCAAGTTGATTGTGAATCGACTTGAGGATGGTCCAGGACGGACCGAAACGTCGTCGTCGTCCCTTCATCTTCTAGTGTGTGGTCTGGTCAACATACTTTAGCCACGTTATTGTGACTCATCGCCTGCATAAATTACTTCATATTTCAATTAAAATAAATAAATAAATAAATATAATATAAACATGGGCAGTGTACTTATATTTAACACTTGTTTAGGTATTAAATATACGAGAATTTCTCCTAAATTTTGTTTAGAAATGCTACGGTGATTCGAAGCCTCGTAATAAGCTTTAAGTGACAGTAAATACACATAAAGTAACTAGGCAACTTTAAAGTGTTTGTTCTTGAAATTGAGCCAATTTGGAAAATTAATTACTGTAGCTGAGATAGATATCAAATAGATATCAGCCATAACAAAAAAAAATTCGAAAATTAAAACTAAAATCTCCAATTTCACTACATCGAAAAATGCAAATTCGACCGCATAAATCAGTGCATATTAAAAGTGCGCTGAAATATATTATTTTGGCCCCTAAATGACAGCTGGTGACGACCCAGCTGACTGACAGCTGGTCCAAACAACGTATACACACAGCGATCACTGTGTATAATTTGTTTATTAAATAAACACATCTAATTCAATTATTAAATCAACTTCTTACGGAAGTGGTGAGTAATTTGCTTATATTCGACAATAAGAACATTTGTGATCCCAGAGTCCTACTGGCGTGTTGTCTTATGAAATGAGTAAATACAAAATAAATATCCGATCATTAGTTGAGGCCTCTGGGTACAGCCAATGGTCTTCCACATTCCTATATTAATTAAACTTTTTTTAAGAATGTCGATGTGTAAAAGGAAAACTTTATATATATATATATATATATATATATATATATATATATATATATATATATATATATATATATATATATATATATATATATATATATATATATATATATATATATATATATATATATATATATATATATATATATATATATATATATATATATATATATATATGTCGTACCTAGTAGCCAGAACGCACTTTTTGGACTACTATGCAAGGCCCGATTTCCCTAATAAGCCAAGTTTTCCTGAATTAATATGTTTTCTCTAATTTTTTTCTTATGAAATGATAAAGCTACCCATTTCATTATGTATGGGGTAAATTTTTTTTAAATTGGAGTTAAAATTAACGTAGATATATGACCGAACCTAACCAACCCTACCTAACCTAACCTAACCTATCTTTATAGGTTAGGTTAGGTTAGGTAGCCGAAAAAGTTCGGTTAGGTTAGGTTAGGTAGGTTAGGTCGTCGAAAAACAATTATTCATGAAAAGTTGGCTTATTAGGCAAATCGGGCCTTGCATAGTAGGCTGAGAAGTGCATTCTGGCTACTAGGTACGACATATATATATATATATATATATATATATATATATATATATATATATATATATATATATATATATATATCGTACCTAGTAGCCAGAACGTCGTACTCTGCCTACTATGCAAGGCCCGATTTGCCTATTAAGCCAAGTTTTCATGAATTAATTGTTTTTCGACTACCTAACCTACCTAACCTAACCTAACCTAACTTTTCCGGCTACCTAATCCAACCTAACCTATAAAGATAGGTTAAGTTAGGTTAGGTAGGGTTGGTTAGGTTCGGTCATATATCTACGTTAATTTTAACTCCAATAAAAAAAAATTGACCTCATACATAATG